TGTAAGTGATCCTGTTCAAAGGAAACATCTAAAGGCTAAGAAAAATTTTCTACTCTCCTCTGAGAGCCTGAAGCCTGCCAGGACATGTGAGGATGATGAAAGAAGAATGCCAAAAGTGTAGGCCAAAGATAAATGAAAGATTGTTCCTTAGATTTTCTCTGTGAAGTTGGAAGAGAAAGTGGCCTTGCCATTAGAACTAGAGTTATGGAACTTGTGCTCAACCACTGTTACTTTAGGACTTTATAGTTGTTTGTGATCACTGTCTGGGATGACTTTTCCTATGGTGTGTGACATTAGAAGAAGGAAACAATTACCAAAACAATCTCAGCGTCCAAGGGTTCAGTAGCTTTTGATACGGTCACTGGAGTGGAGGCTGCCATCTGGGCCTTCCTTTTGGCCTTCTGTGTCTGGAGATTGGTGAAGTAGTTGACAGCCGCGAACTCGATAAGAGCAGAGAAGACGAAAGCAAAGCAAACAGCTATGAACCAATCCATGGCAGTTGCATATGACACTTTGGGCAAGGAGTGCCGGGCACTGATGCTCAAGGTAGTCATGGTTAAAACAGTGGTGATCCCTATAGTGAAAAAGAGTGGGAAACGCATATGAGCCCTGGGAATGCGAAACCAAGACCAGAGAACACGTTGGCAGAGAGCCAATGGAAATGCTCTATGAAAAGTAATTTGTGTTATTTTATTATATTACAATTCCTCCTGATTATCGTAGGTATTAATATTTTTGTACATTTTGGTAAATTGGTGCAGTGACTTTTACATTTAACTTGCTCAGAAAGTTTGCTGCATTGAATTCATTTAACTATCATAAAGCATACATAGTACATCATACATAGTACAAGTCATTGAGTACTTGGGAAAACTTATAATGAATTATTAATCACTTATGTAAAAAAAAAAACCTTGAATTTCTGATCAATTTCACTAGCTAATATCATCTTTCATGACAGTTTCAAAGTCTATCTGCTATAAATATTAGCATAAAATTAGGTTACTCAATTTTTTTCTATTTCTAACCTGGTTTTTAGGTAAAATATTTCCTCAGAATAAAATAAATTGTATCATTTGTCTTCTGGTAATTTTCCTTCTTGAACTAAGACTTGGGAAATGTATAAAATCAGAGGATACGTAACATTGATCGCCAGTGTCATTCTGTAGACATTCTTTTCTAATGTACAAAAGGAGATTTATGTAGTACAATAAATTTTAAAAATCCAGAATCATCTGAGATTTCAGTTCAACTCAGGTCTTCCCTACAGGCTACTAAATTTATAATCATGAGAACCCAGAAACAATTGGACTTTGTTAACTGATAATATTTTCAGTTATAACATTTTCTACTTATTTTATTTTGCTCCATAAAAACTAGTAGTTCTTCTCTACATCAGAAGTGGAATTAAATATTTAGGTTGAATCACAGAAAATCGGTGATATTTAACTACATTTAGACCGGCAAACATGGCCATTTTTTGGTTCAACCTAATACAAGTGAGATACCATCGACGGCTTAGTGGGTTCAATAGCTTAGCCTTTTGCTTTCACAGCTTCACATGTCAGTTTTAACCTTTCTGCTTTTCCTCTTTCTTGAGAAAGCAAATCAAGATAAAACACAGCTACACGGGGCGCATGAAAGTCATGGGGAACCAGATAAAATTCTGAGACAAGCCAAATTTTTTGTGGATTCACCACACAACGTATAACGAGATGAGGGTCATGTTACATGACATAGAAGTCTCATCGACATAGGAGCGTATTTCCTTTGTGGATTGGAAAACTTCACTGGTGTGAATATTCACCAAAATATACAAGCAATGAGAGGCGGAGGATGAATGGAAGTGGAGCACAAAGTGTGAGGCATACCAAAGACAGTCCTTGCTGGCACAGACTCCTTATTAATCCAGAAAGACACCTGGGAGAGAATGACTGTCATAATGCACGGAGTGTATATCTGTATCATAAAGTAGCCCATCTTCCTTTGTAAGTGGAAATGAACAGTCATTATTACATATTCACCTGTTCAAAGACACATATATCAGTATTATGATTACGGACAGTCTGCAAAACGAACGTAGTCAAATATAAATCTCGAAGATTTTTAACTTAGCATGGAATGGAAGAAAACAAGCCAAGGTGTATTTCACTGCACGAGAAAGCTACTTGATCAGCAGATGATAGAGAAAAGCAGCACGTAGTTCATTGTTTTCAGTGGGGTTCTTTGTGTCTGCACCTACTCCTTCCAAGAATACACACATCTTGATATGCACCTGGTTGCAAAATCCATTTTAAGGAAAACTACTCATCACTTTAAAGCAACATGCTTAGCAGAGAATGATTAATGTGGAGGGAAAAGAAACACATTTTGAAAATGTGCACTGGAGTCATCTTGCAGGATTGCATGCATGAGTTTATCAAATTCTTACCTGTATTTGATTTAATGGTCTCACTGGATACTGTTTGTCCAATCAGATCATACTGGAGGAGGCTTGACGATTCTTCCGGGACTTCTACTGAGTAAAGTGGTCCTTTTTTCCATGTATATATGATTTCACTTTTGGGATAAGCATCTGAAGTTTTGAAACAAATTAAACATAGCAGTAAATCTGACAAGTTGACTTTTTGTTTCCTTCCAAATGAGCACTGTCTATGTAAAAAGGCAGGAAAAACACATTTTCTTTAATGTTTTTCTTTAATCCCCGAGTCTAAAACTTTTATGGATGAGATTGACAAATATGATTAAGTGAGTGTATTTCTGGTACCACTCTGAAAGTGTTGTGATAATATTTCCTTCCTGCTTCCTAGTCTCTGACATAAAATAAAATGACTTTTTTTTTTTTTGAGACAAAGTTTCACTATGTCACTTTCAGGAGAGTGCCCTGGTGTCACAGCTCACAGCAACCTCAAACTCTGTGATTAAGAGATTCTCTTCCAGCCTCCCTAGTAACTGTGACGACAGGCGCCCGCCACAACACCGACTGTTTTTTTGTTTGCTTGCTTGTTTGTTTGTTTGTTTGTTTTGGTTGCAGTTGTTGTTGTTTAGCAGGCTGGGCCAGACTTGAACCTGCCAGCTTTGGTGAATGTGGCTGGTACCCTACTCATGGAGCTACTGGCACTGAACCTAAAATGACATATTATAAATATATCATTTGGCTCTCAGAATTTTTTTTTTTAGAATATAGAAGCATAAGTTTATTTTATACTAGAAACGGGGAAGAGAGAGGGGGCAAAGGAGAGAGAGAGAGAAAAGAGCAGAGAGGAGAATAGGGAAGATGGGGAGGGGAGAGAGAGAGAAAAGGAGTGAGAGAATGGTGTGACATCCCAAAGAAAGGAGGGAAAAGGAAGAAGCCAGCCCGGAGGTCCAGTGGTAGCTGAATTTAAGGAGGTCAGAAGCATTTTGTAACTTACAACTTCCAAACTTGAGTGGACAAGCATGACCATCCATAGGAAAGTTAACGAGCCTCATGGGACAGTCAGCATTGATGGTAAGCCTAGTGACAGTGAAACAAAGGGGTCCAAGTTAGTAGGACAGATACATCATTGAAGCAGAGAAAACAGAACTGGAGGACGCTCACCTCATGGTGTATAGAATGGTTCCATTCTGCATGATTCTGAAGAGTTTATTAGGTGTCGTCATGTTGTGCGCAATGGACTTTTTGCCATTCCTGAAAAAAGTGTCAGGAGTCCAGATTTTACTGACCATCAAGTTATTCAAACTCAGAATCTCAGCTGGCCCCCCAAACTTCAACCTCTCATCAGTCCATGTCTGGCGGAAGAAAACGTCCATTGTATACTCCTAAGAGAAAATAAAATATGCATTCATGCTGAGCTTGTTAAGAATACTTCACTCGCTAGCTTAGGTGCCCAAACCCAAAATTTAGGCAGTGAAGCAATTTTTTATGGCAGTACCTTGCCAGTACAATGTTCGTGAGTTATTACTTTGCTCAAACTCATGTAGTCTGTAGTATTATCAAATTTAGTACCATTTTTCATAATCCTACCTTCTCCACCTTCACCTCTCCTCCCATCCAGAGAAGCTGGATTCTTCTCTCCAGCTATCAAAATCCACCTCCTTGATTTAGAAAAAAATAAATAAGTGGAAATACGTAGTCTAGGCTTTGTGCTGGCCTTCCTACAAGCCAATCTCCTTTGTACCTCATTCACCCTGAAAGGGATCTCAGAGCCTCACAGATCCATTCACTATAAAGTTCCAAGGATAGACAAACTTTACTTAATAATTACTCTGTGGCTACAAATCATATTCATTTTATATTGCTCTCAGGGAGCATAACAACAACTGTTACCATGATTAATCTAAAGACAGTATCATCTTAAGTGCACAAAATCAAAATTATAAGTTTTAATTTCTTGCTTTTATAAAATCACATTAAAATGTTGAAGAATTATGATAAGGACTACTGCAAAATTGAATGACAAATAACAACTTATAATTATGTCAAAGCATTACCCAAAATTGCTTTGCCTGTTTCATAAATTCTTTTGTAAGACTTAATGACTGAAAATAATGATTACATTTTAAAAATATAATTTAATGTGCGATCTACCCATGCAATAATGATCCAGGCTACATAGGGCTCTAATGCACAAATGAACTTTCAAAAGAAACACATGCATGAGATAAAATCCAAAGTATACCCAGACTTTGATAATAGGGTAGAAAATGGTAGTGGTTGTTTCTGCTTGGAGTGACTCAGTACTCAAATGAGAAATATAGTATTAAAATAATTCAGGATTCTGAATAATGCTGACTCTGCTTTTTCCTTAAATCTTAAAATATTTATCTCTAGAATAAAGCCTTTTCTTCCTCCCTTCCTCCCCTTCTTTCTTGTTTCTTCCTTCCTTCCTTCCTCCTTTTCTTTTCTCTTCCTCCTCTACTCCTTCCTTTTTTCTTTCTTTCCCATCAGCCTTCTTTGTTTTCTTCTTTCCTTGTCAACTCATAAAGCAGAAGATGAAAAAGTCTCCCGTGACTCTTTATCCAGACTTAGATTCCCTTAACAAAATCGACTGATGTGCTTCTTTAAAGCCACTTATGTTTATTTCAGCATTAGCATTTATGTTTTAGTTTCAGAGGGAAATGTACCTGAGAACTGTGAAAGAATATCATGATACACTGTGTTCTAGAAAACTGGTTCAGGTTTTCATTCCCACTTACTATAAATACATTCTTATGAATCCTACAGCCATCTGTACCTGGAACAGAGTCCTCAGAACACCTACTGGTCCATCCACAAAGTAAAAGGTGGAATGTATTAGCTTTTCCAAATGACCCCCTTACTGGTTTAAAAAAGTAATGCTGATAATTACATTGCTGCAAAGACAGTTGTGTTTTAATTTCATAGATATTGTCAATATGCACATATGCTATGGCATAGGATCTTTGTGGAGCTTTTTTTCACACTCCACAAAACTTAGTAGGACTTCACAAAGAAAGGGAACATTTTCCCATGAAGGGAAGAATCAACACACAATATGTAGATGGCACAGAGGATATAATCTTTAAAGGTCCCTCAGATTAAAATATTCAAGCAGAGCCCTTAGTGAAACATGAAGATTAAGCCAGTAATTTGCTCTAATGGCCATGCCCTCCCAGCAGGGACACACATATTGTGTCATGAATCTGGAGCCAAGCTTGGTGCAGTGCCCACTTTCATGAGTTCTGGGACTCCACTCTGCTCCCTTAAGTGAAAATACCCAACTCACTCCAAGCTCACTTACCATCTCCACATCTGACACAGGCCCAAAACTAGTCACATAAATGTCTGTTTTGACTTCAGTGACAGCACCTGAAATGAGTCCAGAGGAATGTTAAGTGGACTGAACTTAGTGACTCTACCATAAAACCCCTTCTCATGGCCAGAATCTGCAGCCCATCCAATTACACTTCAGTAGTGGGAGACCTTGGGTCTTTGAACTCTAAAACCTTGTATCTGTTGCCTTATTTTGAATTCATTCTAGTCAAATTGAGGTAACATTGAGGAATGAAAGAAAATTAGATTAGTTTTACTGAAAATTATGATAACTATTGTATTTTAACAGCTTCAACAGGGCAAATGCTAAGAAAAATATTTTACATGGAAAATCTCATTTTACACATGCATAACGCTATGAGGTAAGCACTGATCATATACCCACACTACATTTGAATATACGGAGGCTTAGAGAGTCCAAGTAACTTGTGTAATGTCATTACCTGGGGTAGAGACAGAGGTAGATAAAAATACACACAGCCTCTCTTTAGTATCTCTGCCCATTACCATGTTAGCATACCAACTTCTTTCTGACTCCCCTGGTCTTGGAAGGGTAGTTCAGGGAGGAGGGAGAAAAACATGTCTGACATAGCAAAATAAGCTTCTTACCTCCAAATCCTGGCCGCAGCCGATTGTCATAGCCTTCAAGCAAGTTGTCCAGGATCCGACTGATATTCTCCGAGTAAAAGTTGCCTTCATCTTCAAGTTTCCCCAGGGCATTTTCTAGCCTGTAAGTAGAGTCCATGATCCTTACTCTCAGCCTCAGAGAAGACGTTTTGTCTAATCTACCCTAGTCTAGCCCACCACAAGTACTTAATGCACCACCCTGCCTTCTTCCAAGATTTCATAAAGATGTCACCCAGTGGATGCTTATTTTCCATTTCCTTTGAGCTGAAAAGAAAAAAAATTAGGAAAAATAATCTTACCATAGAACGATGCACAGCCAGGGCAGAGGAGATGCCATGCCAAGGAGCACTGAAATGTCCCGTTCACCTTCCTCCTGGTTTCCTCCCTCCAACTAACCCTCTGGTGCCAATCAACTAGACAAATCTTCCAAACTCCTCATATTCCTGTTGCTGGTCTGCAGTAATCCAGTCAGTACGGGGAGCTGCCAGAAAACTTTGAAGTTTCCTCTTGAGCTCTTCCTCCTTGTTTCTGTCTTTTTCACTTGGAGCTAGATGATTTGTGGTCTTAGACTACATCCTGCGGACACCCAGCCTCCTCTGAATGACTCAGTGGGGAAATGCAAGTCTGAAGGGACAGTGCATGGTCGGAGAGCAGTGACAATAATCGAATAAGGCATTAGGGGAGATTAGAAGGAAGAAAGCCACTGCTAGTTTTGGCATGGAATTAGCAGGCCCCTGTGAGGAAATCTGGAAAGCAGTGGCATCTTGCTGATTGAGATTATGTTCCAATGGGCTCAGCATTTATTATTTCTATGGTTCACAGAAGGATTCCTACACAGCTCTTACGGTTTGAAAAAGTCTAACAACGGTGGGACCTTCTTAGATTCTCTTTCTGATTTTCATCAGGTTTATTGGCTTCCGACGCACATTTCTACTGCACTTAAAAATATTCCCTCCTTCTTATTTACTATCCCTGTGACACAGTAGGACAACTTCTAACCATCTTGCTGTTGAGTAAGTATTTTAAGTAATTTACTTATTCTTTCTGTCATATATGTGTATTTTAAAGCTAAGACAGAAATGGGTTCTACCATTGCCCTTAGAAACCTGGCCAGAGACTTTTGCATGTTACCTACAGAAACGATGTCTGAGAAATGGTAGGCGAAAGCTCCCACACAGTAACCCTGCACGAATAAGAAGCCTACGTAGATGTGGTTAACGATGATACTGCTGGCATTAGTTTTACGAGGCTTGGCCCAGGTCCAAAGCAAAATGTCTGACTGAATCCAAGAAACTGGTATAGCATTCCATACCAGTTCTGCTAGGAGGAAATTGTAGTAACAGAAATTCGTTTGAGCCTGAGAACTTTCATCTTTAAATTAAAATAATAAAAAATCTTAACAAAAACATTTACATATTTAAACTCAAGAATATAAGGTAAAGATTGAAATGTCTCGATTCATCGCTCTCCTTCTAGTTCAATTAATCACTCAACCGGTTCACTGTCTGTGGCTTTAGAATCTAAACTCTATAAAAGCTACAGCAACTATTCTAGAAATATAGCACAGTCTTAAAAGTCACACTGAAAGCCATGACACAAATCACTTGAGGACCCTTTTAGTAAATTAGCTAGAACCATGAAGAAACAATGCAAACTAGAAAAAGAACAAGATTTTCTGTGGATTTTTGTAATATTACTGAACCTGAAAACCCGCCAGCACCCCTGGCAAGTTGCTTTCTGCATATATTTTCTCATATTGTTTTACTTGTGCTGCAAATGAAACCATATCCTGGTCCTAGTTATCACCTTTGAAGCCATATGAAGTAATTTCTCAGGGAAGGAAGGCATGGGAGACATTTAAATGAAGATACCTGTAATGGTCTAATTTACATTAAATACCCCTAAAACCTTTTCCTGTTCATTATAGGATCCAGTTTATCTCTTCTCATTCTTTTTCCTTTAAACATATACCACATTGTATTTCCAACTCACATTTAATGTAACGTTACTTAACCACCCTAAAATCTGGCATATGTGATGCTGTTCAATAATTCTCTGCTCTCCTCTAATAAAACATTTTTATTCAACCTTGTTCAGTGGCAAATCCTACATCAATCCTGTCACCTTGTTAGAGTTGTATTATTTTTAATATTATCAAAATATTTACCATCTGGCATCAGACAGGAAGCTTGCTTAGTGAAGTTTTTAAGGAGAATTTTTTTCAAATTGTAAAACACTATTGACCAAAGTTGATACTGTGCATTTTTACATACATTCCTGTAGACTAGGCATGTTTTTCTCATTAAAATTCTCCAACAAGGAACAAATAATAGGTAAACTACATGTGTCTCTAAATAAAAGATTAGCACAGCTAATTCAATTCTTTTTCTTCCATAGGTTTTAATTAGTAATCAATTAATGGGGGGAGAAGAAAGACCTTTTTTTTTTTTTTTTTTTTTTTGGTCAGAGCCAGGTTTGAACCCACCACCTCCAGTATATGGGGCCAACACCCTACTCCTTGAGCCACAAGCACTGCCCAGGAAGCCTTTTCTATTTTCAATAGGAAGGGACAGTAAGCCATAACATTTCAGTGCTTTCCTCTCTGATGACCTCACCGTTAGGTGAACACAGCAGACCTGGCAATATCTAAAGTCCCCGAGCTCTGTAGTTCTGTGGATTTGAATTATATGTTAGTATCTATATGTTATGAAGTCCCTTGGTCACACATCTTTGTCAGAATTGGAGCAGACAAGTTCTATGAGCAGTGCTGTTAATTGGATTATAATTATTACTTTCATATGGAACTAGCAAGTAAAGAGAGAGACTGTGACAATGGCCATGACTTTGGAAGATGTACGTTCTTTATGTGGTAGTCTGAGTCTGCAAACCAAGCCTGAGAGCACCCTCATTTAAAGAATTGCCTTATTCTGGCAAATTTGAGAATATTTTTCTGTTTTATTTATTTATTTTTTTAGAGATAGAGCCTCACTTTATTGCCCTCAGTAGAATGCTGTGGCATTAACACACAGAAACCTCCAACTCCTAGGCTTAGGCAATTCTCTTGCCTCAGCCTCCTGAGTAGCTGGGACTACCTGCCACAATGCCTGGCTATTTTTTGGATGCAGTGTGGCCGGTGCTGGGTTTGAACCCACCACCCTTGGTATATGGGACTAGCGCCCTACTCTCTGAGCCACAGGCACCGCCCTGAGAATATTTATCTCACACTTATTCATTTTACAGCTGTTTCGCAAAAATATGTGGTCTTTTTATAATCACCTTAGATAATCACTCACTTGTTTTGCTTTATATCTCCACTGGGAAGTCTAGACCTACCATACACCCCAAGAAAACTGTTATTAAAATGTCAGAACTTGCAGAAGGACAAGGTGAAAAAGTTGTATCTCTTTTCCATAAGCTATACTTTAATTCCTCACAGCACCATCACTAACACAGTATTTGTATGTATAAGATGACTTATCAAAAATTCAGGGATAACTAGAGAAAATTATTTTACTATAAAAGCAAACTTGACAACAGACACTAAAAGGTACTTTCCATGATACAAAAGAACCGATACATACGTACATGTATAATATATACATTCGTAAAGAAAATACTGAAATATTCAAGATAGGTACAGCATTGCCTCTTAGACACTATTTATTTGTATCTTCAACTGCAAATTTTTATTCGTGATTTCTTTTCTTCTTTTTGTTTTTTTCTTTCTTTTTTCTTTTCTTTTCTTTCTTTCATTTTGGAGATAGAGTCTGACTCTGTTGCCATGGCTGGAGTGTAGAGTGCTGTGATATTGTCATAGCTCACAGATATCTCAAACTCGTAGACTCAAGTGATCCGTTTGCCTCAGCTTCCTGAATCTATGGGACTATAAGCACCAGCTATGACACCCAGCTAGTTTTTCTATTTCAGTACAGACAAGGTCTAGCTCTTGTTCAGACTGGCCATTGATCTTTCCAAAGATCAATGGGATTGGGATTATGCTTTCCACATGAATTTTGTTCCTCCCACAAGTGAGAAAAAAATACAAACTGGTACCCAGGGTGTAGAGGCATGGAATACTGTTAAATATTCCATAGCCCATACAAAAAAAAAATAATAATTATCTGGCCCAAATATCAGTAGTGTTAAGGTTAAGAAAACTTGCTATAGAATAACACTACACAAACTTTAATAAAATGCTTCTGGATGGGAAGGCTTAGTTTCTCAAATCCTGAAGTATCTCCATCAATCTCTCCTCTGCTTCCAAAGTAATTTTTTTGAATACGCCCTTTTCCCCTCACATTATTAGGTGGCATCTAAATCTGAAAAATGAAAGATGCTTTAAGATAATCTTTGCATTGGTTATCCTCTGTAAATTCTGCATGTTATCATTTCCTCTTTGTTAAACCTATATTGCTTAACAATAACCCTCAAATACTTTAAATCCTGTTAGAGACGGTGGGGGAGAAGAATATCAATGATATAGCCCAGATAGTAATCAGAAATGGGCTTTTAACATAATTTCCAAGAGTCCTAAGGGGAAATTAAAATACCTTTTTTGAGATATTTATTGTAAGTAAAATTATAAGTTACATGTAAGATTGTGGCAACATAAACATACGACGTTATTAGTTTTCATTATATAGCATGCTTGGATACATAATCATTTACAGTGTATATGTACAATATCTCATCTGGATTTTCCTCCCCAAAGGAGTTGGCAGAATGATGTTACTATTCTCACTACTTGAGAATATGTAAGATCTAGAGAGGTAAAATAAGTCCTCCATGATTGCAAAACCAGTAGAGGGTCAAGCTGAACACAGTCTTTAGATTCATAGTCACATGATTCTTAGCTAAGCCACGTGAGCCAATATTCTGACCTCTTTTGCCAATAAGTTTATTTTGACTGAAATCATTTTCAGTCATCACTCTATGACAAGAGAGAATGAAGCTGATCTTCGAAAAACTAGAAGCCCTTGCATTGACAAATTACAACTCTGGTCCAGTAACTTCTCTCTGAGTATTAGTTTTCTCATCAATATGGGGGTCTGGAACCAAAGGTTATTAGTATCCAAGTAACTATTTTGTACCTTGTACCAAAATACCTGAAATGTTTTTCCCTGGCCTGCCTTAGAAACTTAATAATATAGAGCTAGTTCAGTCTAAAAATATAAGAATAATTTAAGGCTATATAAGTAGGAATTAATATAAAATTAATAGTGGTTACCAAATATTTGATATTTTTTATATGTCAAGAACT